GCGGGTCGGTGGGGCGCGCCTGGTGGCGGTGTCCGCCTCCCGGGCTGCCGCTCTCGGTGGAGCGCTCGGCGGCGGTGTCCGGCTGGGTCTCCGCCATCTCTAGGCGTTGCTGGCCGCCGGGGCTTGGGGGGCCGGCGGTGGGGTCGGAGCGGGGGGGGGGGGGCGTTGCCGCGGGCCGGTTGCCTCGGCAAGTTTGCGGAGCACATGGTGGCTGGGTGTTCCCCTGCCCCGTGCATCTCTGACTGGCCCAGATACGAGGGGCATCCCTGCGCGATCTGGAAGTACCTGAGCTTGCTGTGGCTGCCTCGTTCCCCAGCTTTCTGTGTGCGGTGCAGCGCTTGCAAGAGGCTAAGGAGGAAGAGGAGCAACAGGTGGGAGAGGAGGCCTCACCTCGTTGATGGCCAGGCATCCATTCTAGCGCCTGGGAAGTGCAGTAAGGTTTTCTGGTATCCTTACAGACAACGTCTTTGCTTTGAAATGCTTTCCTGGAAACGTATGGGACTTCTGGGGCCCTTCTGGGTGTAACAAGAGGAGTGAAAATGCTGGAGGGTTAGTTGTCTTCTGGCTTGGTTGGAGCACGCTTAGGAAGGATTTCAGAGACTCTGTGTAGGTCACTAATGCGATACATGCAAGGGTTATTTTGTTACTTGTTACTCTGTGTTCTCTGCCCTGTGACACATTTAAATCATCACGGGTTTTTTTGGGGTACCTGTAGATGTTTGGGCTGTCTGCCTGAGTGTCAAAAGTTGCCTCTGACTCCTGCCAGTGTCGTATTCTGGCAGCAAGTTTCACTGGTAAGTTGATACTACTTAAAGTCTTCCTCTGATCTGTTTCAAATGGTCTGAGAGAGGTTGTCCTTCTGAGCTCCTGATACAGTGTGTAAATAGATGTAGCTGGTGGATTGTTACCTCTCTTCTGTCGCTCCTTGTGTGAATCTTTTTTTAATCCCTTCCCTCATTTCCTTTAGAGTTTGATCTAGATTACCTCCTTCATCGATGGCAACCTTTTCTGCTTTTCAGTCATTGTTCTTTCTAGCCTCTTTGTTTTGAGATGAGCAAGAAAGCTGAGCCCAGGCCTAGGCTGCTGCGCTGGCCTCTGATTTTATAAAGGGCTTGGTGTTGCTCTGTCTGTCAGATACTGGTTATAGGAGGGTGTTTGCCTTTCAAAAGGGCACCACAGATCTGGAGGAGTGCTGTGCAAAGGCTGCGCCAGCTCCTTAAATGGTGGGCAAGGTTCTAGCCTGTTCTAACTGGCTCATTGAGGGTGATTTGCAGACCCCAATGGTTTTCTGCTGTCTTCTGTTATCGATTGTCCCCTAAATGAGCAGCTCTTTGTTAGGCCATAGAGAATCTGAACTTGTTGGTAAAGTCCTTATTTGCCTCTCTTCTCTCTAGGGTCTGTACTTGCTTCTGCTATAGCTGGGTCCTTTTGACTTACTCCAACTTATTTGTCCTGTATGGGGTTTGGTGTAAGATTCCTCTTACTTCACTGTGTCCCAGGATATGCTCTTTTCTGCCATGTCTTCACCTGTTCCCCACACATCCTCAGGTTGATTGTTCACTGTAGTGTGACTGTGCTACACGTTGGTGAGCCTGGCTGACCCGTACTACAGCTACCTTATCTATCAAAAGCAATGAAGAAGCAGTGGTCAGGACATCAGGGCTGGCTGTACAGATTCATTCTAGATGTTGCCTTGAATTTTAATTTGGACATAAGGTTTACATTCTTGCTCTTTTCTGCCCTTCAGCAGTGCTACGCACAGTAGCCTTCTGCACTGTGAAGTGTTCCTTGTGAGGCAACTCCCTGCTCCTAATAAAAAATTAATAATAAAAAAATGTGGGAAGGAGCATCACAAGAATCCTTGCTATTAATTCCTAAACACTTTTACTTGTGACCTCTTGGGGAATTTAAAATTCCCCCACATGGGTTTCTAGTTTTGTGTCTCAGCTAAAATGTTACATGGATGATCATTCCACCTCCCTCACGTTTATTGTCTGAGATTTGTCTGTGATGGTTTCACATAGTGTAATTGTGCCCAAAAACAGGTGTTGGATTTTTCAGAGGGGTAAACTGATTCTTATACCTGGGAGCTGATTTACCAGCTTGCAGATACTACCAAGCACCCTACTCAGTCCATCAGTCCAATTTGAATGACCTGTTGCTTGTAGGTGTCTTCTTAACATAGAGACTGATCAGCTCAGAAATGCATTAGTTTTCCTCCTGAGCACTTAAAGCTGAGCTCAACTGCTTCAACTGCTTTAGCTCTGCCTGTTCTTTGTATACTTTTGTGATGCTTCAGTGTTGACAAAAGATGTCTGGAAGAACAAGGTGTATTTCTAGCCATATATGCTGATAATGCAGCTAGGTGTGCCTTAGTAGTGGGAGTAGTAAGAGAATGAGCTTCACTGCACAGAACACTAAGCAAGCTTCTGGCAGAAGTGCCAAGCTTCCAACTTTCCAGGACAGGCTTTATTTTTCTTAGAGCTCAATGATGCCAGTGTAGTTCTGAGTACAGAGAAACCTTGAGTTTATTATAGCTTCCACTGCTTTTGCGGCCTCTGTTCATGCAAAGTGATCCATTAGAATCTGAACCACTCTGCTGAAGAGGATTCACATGCAACGTGAGCTGGAAAATCCAGAGTTGCTGTTAATCCTGTGTGTGTTGCTCAGTAGGTGCAGATTACTGGCTGTCTTCATTGTCGGAGCAAAGTCAAAGCTTAAGAAGTGTAAGGAACCCAAAGGGTTGGCAAAGAGAATTGCTGGAAAGAAGACTTGGTAAAGGGAGATAACCTGCTTGGGGAGCTGGAAGTATTGCCAAGCTTTGGCGCCTGTTTATCACCAAACAAAGGATAGGCTGAAGAGTTATGCCCTAACAGTAGGGAAGGGTGGGGGGTAGGGAGAAGCTCTTTGGTATGGTGTTGTGGCTGCTTCTTCAAGACCCATGGAACAGCAGAGCTGTCCTTACTTGCCAGCTGTGCGAAGAAGGCTGACTGATGTTACAAAGAACAGATACTGTAAAGGGGAGCATGCTATGGGCCACAGATATCCCGAATCATTGGTGTGCACAAGAGTTGGTTTCCTCTGTCTGCACGGGGAGCAGTGGGAGTATGTTGTGGGACCTGGTTTGCTTGTCAGAAAGCAGATGAACATGTGCATGTTTACAAACCAAAACAGTGCCCATGCTAATTCTAAATCTCTGTCTTGGTGCTCCTTTTCCTGCTGGCAGCATGCAGAGAAGTTCCACACGTGGCTGGTCTCAGTTTGGTTTTTTGTCACTGGTACTTGTTGAGAATCTTGTCTCATCTCTTGCCTTGACCTGTTCTCCATCTCCCTTTGAGAATTGGGACCTGGTTCCCTGTGGTTACTTCAAATAGTTCTGATTCCTTATGCTCCATTCTTTTTTATTCCTACCCTGTTTGGTACCTATAGCCTATTAAGGCTGACTGACGTAACCTCTGTGTCCTTCTGCTTGAATTTGTGCTGGAAATTCTTGATTAAATCATACCAGGTATGGTTGCTGTAATCTTC